GATTTTTTTTTAGTGATGATGATGATGATGAGGAGTTGTAGGATGAAATTGAAAAGTTACAAGCTTTAAGAACTCAAACATTTAGAACTATAGAATATGATATGATAGATAGACCTAAAATATATCCTTTTGAAGTAATGAATGTAGAAGATGGTTAAAGTGGTGATGTTGGTTTAAGTGACATTGATCTTAGTTATGATGAGAATGGTGAGGATCATGTTGTTAAAAGAAGGAATATATTTAAGATGTTTGAAAAGGGAACAACAAAGATAGCTTAATTTGTGTTAGGCATAATATTCAAGAACAAACAGGAATTGAAGGAAGTAGTTGATGATTATGTAGTGTTAAGTAGGAGGGATAAAAAAAATTAGAAAAATATTAAAGATAAATTTCATGCTAAGTGTGTGTAAAAAGGTTGTCCATGTACTTTATGCTACTATAACTTTAGTTGTAGATACATTCTATATTGAAACACTTAATGATGAACATAGGTGTAATCAAGTTAATAAAAATTGAAGGCTAAATAGTTGTTGGTTAGCCAATAATTATTTTGGCTAGATGAGGGCAATGACTTTCATAAAATTGAAACATTTGAGATAGTTTGTCGGGGGTAATTTCTAGGTTGAAGTGACATTCACCAAATGCTTGAGAGCTAAAGCAAAAGCGTTAGAAAAATTAAATAGGTGATTACGGGAAAGATTATGCTAAGGTATATGATTATTGTTTGGAGTTAAATAACTCAAATAGTTGGGCTACAACTTATTGTGTTGATGTGACCCTTTATTTGTTCCCTAACATTGACCCTGTCTTTGATAGAATATATGTATTATTCAATTGTTACAAGCAAGGATTTTTGGCTGATTGTAGGAGGGCCGGATGGTTAGATAAATGTCTTTTTGAAAGGCATTATTAAAAAAGAGTTGCTAACAATTATAGGAAGAGATAGAAACAATCAAATGTTTCTAGTAGCTTAAGCGATTGCGACTAGAGAGACAAGAGATGCATGGACTTAGTTTGTCTAACTGTTCATAATAGACCTTGGCCTAATTAATCAAGGAAAAGATTGGGTGTTCATTACTAATCAACACAATGTAATTTAACTACATATACTTTTTTATATATTATTTTTTATTTAATAGATTTCTTGATACAATCTCTTTTATTTATTTTATAGGGATTGGTTCTCATAGTGGATATTTTGTTGGGTAATTATGAGAGAATGGCGTGTTCTAGGCATCATTTTTCCAATTAGAGGAAGAAGCATAGGAGAAAATATTTAGAAGATTTATTCTAGGCATGTTCAAAATCAACAAACATGTTGAAGTTTGAGAAACAAATGGATTTACTACCGAAAGAATCTAGCGAGTGCATATAGTGACATCCTTAAAGAGGAGCCAAAAAGCTGGTGCATGACATATTTTTTTTACTATAACTAGATGTGATTTTATGGAAAAAAGCATTCAATGGGGGAAATTATGAAAGAAAGATGCTTGTCAATATTATCCGGTACTTGAACATACCAGATTATAAGTGATGAATAAGACCCACAACAACAATAGAGAACAAACTAAAACTAGATTAGTAATACTGATCATAGAATTAGGAGAAAGTTATTTCAAAATAAAATTGAGATTTTTGATAATTTGTATGTGCACTAGAATGGTGCTTAAGGTTATAAAATAAGGAAGCACGAAGCAAGCTGAAAGATATATGGTGAAGTTTGTTGATAAGACATGCTCGTATGGGCTTGACAACTTTCAAGAATCCTATGTTGCCATGTCATGCATGCAATCATTGACAAAGAAGAGCATGAACCAAAATCATATGTGTATGATTGGATAACAAAAGCCAAATACATAAAAGCATATTAGTTTGTAATGTAGCTACTAAATGGAGAGTCGTTTTGCAATCAAACAATGAAGCTAACATAACCACCTCCATTTAAGAAAATACTAAGAAGACTTAAAAAGAATAGATTTAAAGAAATTAGGGAGCCAAGTCACAATGGTACCAAATTGTTCAAAAAAGGTATGAAGATGAGATGTTTAGCTTGCTATCAATAAAGTCATAATAAAGTATAATGCCTAAATAAATTGAATCCCGACTATATAGTTAGAGCAAGAGAAAAAAAATTATAAGTTAAACTTCTATATTATCTTTGTAATTTACATATATTTGTAAGTAATGATTTAGGCTAACTATTTTTTTTTTTTTTTGATGTATAGTATAAGAAAAAATAGAAAAAAGTGTCTCTAGCTACTAAAAGTCATGACAAACCTAGGAATTATTTGCATATTGCACTTGTTGATGAAGTCGAACTTACAACTACTAGTGTTGGTTGTAGTTAGGTTGGAGATAACAATGGCGATCGAGAATATGCAAGTGAAATATATAATACACAAGTTAGTGCAAATACATTATCACATACTATCAATATAGTCATCAATATGAGCTTTAATATTTTGATTTCTTTTTCCTCTTTATTTTATAAATGAATGTGCAAGTAAAGTTTGTGGTTATGGTTGTTGAATTTAACTATTAGGTTATAGGCTATTACAAGAAGTCTATGGCTCTTATTTGGGGTAGTTACTCGTTGCTCCAAATAGAAAGTATAGAGTCATCACACCTAATACTTGGAAGATTTAACCTTAAGTAGTTATACAACCTTGTTAAATTTTATTTAACTTAAACTAATTCCTAACACGCATACTAGATAAAGTGAGTGCAAATACACCACATCCATTGTATCCCCTTCATCAAACCATATCCATACATCACCGTCCTACTTGAAATCTAACAAACATATCAATCGATTTCGTACATTCCCCCCAAACATACGAAGTTTCTTTTTCTCTAGCCCCAAACCTATCTTTGATTTTTTTTCCAACAAAACCCACTTCATCAAACCCAACCAAACTTGAAATCTAATAAACCTTACATCTTAATTTTCTCTACCGAACCCCTCATCCTTCATCAAAGCAACTTGTAAATTACAAGCATCCAAGAAAGTAGCCGAAAACACTTGAAGACTTTAGTTCTCTTCTTCTTACATTGGTTGTTAAATTCAAGCTTATTTACTCGCCTCAACAAATAAGAAATAATTTGCTTTACACAATCACAAATGGGTGGATCAACCAATTAAAAAACATTGCATTTTTTTCTTCCACATGTGATGAATCTTCTTCTTATATTAGTGTCGATCAATGAAGTTTGCATCACTAAAGCTTCTCCACGATTGCGGATGCCAACTAACATTTCTTTTGGGTTGTTCTTGGCATATATATATGAAGCTTAAAAAATGATCGCTCTTTTCATTGTCTTTGCAAGGGCGACCAATAGGGAAATTCTCTCCATAGTGTTTTTATTTAATTATTTTTTTAACTAACAAAAGATAATGAAAATTAGGCCGGTAGGTTTGAGTTTGTTAATTTTTTGTTGACTTGTGAATGACAAGTGCCAAGTGGTGGTTCGTGGTAGGTTTCGTCAAACACGTTAGTAAAATTAAACTTTAGGAGACTTTGAACACTAAAATAAAATAAAAAAATATAAAATTGGATAACAAATTGTTAGAAATCAATTGTTGGACATCACAACATAAAAACAATCAAAGGTTGGACATAAAAATATTGTTTTTGCTTTTTTGTACTACCATAAAAATTAATATGGTTGTGTTACTATACATAATCCAATCGTCCAAAAAAAACTCCATTATTTATGTAACAAAACAAACCTATCCATTGAATCCAACAAATCTTTCATTAAATTGAAATCTAAAATAAACGTTGGAGATGGAATATATATATATATATATATATATATATATATTTTGGTAATCAAGTATAGCATGCATAAGGATATCAATTAATCACGTAAACATCACAAATCAAGTAAAGAATTAAGAAAACCACTCATTGATAAATTTTCGAGTACTCAAATATTTCAGGTATTTGGTCAACGACATGTCAACATGGTACCGATTAACGTATTATCATTACGATTTTGAACATATAGCTGTCAACGCATGGGTTAGGAGTTTGGACGGTGAAATGGAGTAGAAAAAGTGAAAGAGTTGATAGGCAAAATGTGTAATTTATATTTACAGGCGAAAACTCACAGTAAGAAGAAAATAGAAAGAAGAAATTATAATGCAACTCTCTTTCTCTCTCTCCTAGTCTCCTTCTCTTTCTCTTTCTGAAAAAAAAAAAAAACAAAAAAAATCTGACACAAACTCCGTTTCCGTTTCTCACTAGGTGCAGGGAGGACTGAGAAAGGACCTTGCGTTGCCTAGCCTTTTTCTCATGCTAGTATAAAAAGCACAGCTGAAAAATAATGGCGGTATAAAAGCAGAAGCATCAGCAAGCAACACAACTAGTGCTATACTATCCACCATTACTGGCATAAATAACCTCTCTTCCCCATAAATCTTCTGCTTTTTCTTCACCTTATTTGTTTACACATAGAGAATAGAATAGAATAGTGAGTGTTTCTGTTAAGGTGTTGTCAATATAGCAAGTAGTATATTATATAGGTGCTTGAAGCAGTGTGGTGTGTTAGCTAGCTGTGAAAATGTTGTGCACTCATTTTTCAGTTTATAGTTTTAGTTATTTTGGGAGTAAAAAGATCTGGGTTTTTTCACAAAAATCAAATTTAGTGACATTCAACTAAGATCTGCTAGCTTAAATGAGAAGCAGAACGGAGTGATTTTGTGGGTTGGTTAAAGCTTATTTCAGAACCGGATGAGGCTGAAATCGATTGTATTTTGTAGTAAAACCGGTTTCGGTTGAGGATTTAGAAACTGGGTCCGTCGTTTCTTTGCTTTTCTTATCTTCAAAACGAATGCCTTTTTTTTTTTTTGAAGAGGGAAGGGAAAAGTTGAAGAAGAAGGCATGGTGTTGTCATTGGGTGAAGCGAAGAAACTAGCGAAGATTTGTGTTTTGGATCTTTAATTGGGTTGTGGGTCTAAACTTGTTGGGATTGTGTTATTAAATCTCTCTATCTTAATGAGGCTCTATTCAGCTGGTTTTAGTCCACAAACCCAGGACGGTATGTGTTTTTATTAGCCTCTTCGTTTTTTTTTTTTTTTTTTTTTTGAGGAATCTTCTTTTCAGTTTTTGCTTCAAGTTTAATTTTGGTGGCTCAGTAGATGAGATCTTGGAAAATCATATGAAGCTTGGTCCATATTATCCATTACTTAAACTTGGATTGTGGTCTTCAATTTCTTTTCTTTCTTATTTCTGTAGTTTTCTTCTCCTATGTTCACAGACCTCACTGTGTACCCATATTTTGAACCTTTTCCTTTTTTCTTTCCCCTCAATTTTCTCAAAGATCAAGCAGAGTGTTAATATGGTTCGCCTTGTTGAATTTATTTATTTTTTTACCAGTTTCAAAGCCCTTGTTCAGCTTTCTTGACTACTTCATTCAGGCTAATTGGTGGCCTTATTTTAAAATTTTCTGCACCAAAAAAATACAGATTTCATGTAATTTTGTAACATTACCCTGGAATGGATTTTACAGGGGAGAAGAGGGTGCTGAATTCTGAACTGTGGCATGCATGTGCGGGTCCTCTTGTTTCTCTACCTGCTGTTGGAAGCCGCGTTGTTTATTTTCCACAAGGTCACAGTGAGCAGGTAAGCTCTGATTTTAGCCTGCTTCCCTGTACTTATGAATCAGATCCCTTTTTTGTTAATGAATAATTATGTTTTTTGGTAGAAAAGGTACGGTCTGAATATAGCCTTCAAATAATTATCTAAGAAATGATTTATGAAGATTGTCTCTTCCTTGCAGGTAATTGAAATTGTAGTGTCATTCAGTTTGAGCATTAACATCTAATGCGTAACTTACCAATATGGCAAAATACAAATAATCAACAATGAGACAATCTCTGATCATTGTGATGTTACTTAAGCTGATCAAGTAGCTCACATATTCTCTTAAATGTGACTGTATTGGCAAAATACTGAAAATTGAAGTTGCAGTTACATGTGAAAATATGTTTATGATTTTTCCTTTCTGTTATTAGTTTAAGTAAGACACACTCTCTATGTTATGACAGTAAGCAACCCTTTCTTGCTTTGTTTCATTTATATCTCAATGCCCTTTTGTGTAGGTTGCTGCATCAACGAACAAGGAAGTGGATGTCCACATTCCAAACTACCCAAACTTGCCTCCACAACTTATCTGTCAGCTTCACAATGTGACTATGCATGTAAGAGTTGCTTTACTTTGCTAGTTTCTAGTTCCGAATTTTCCTTTCTTTCTTGAAGGCTCAAAAAATTTCTCAATTTCAGGCAGATGTCGAGACGGATGAAGTTTATGCACAAATGACCTTACAACCACTAAGTCCAGTGTGTCTTTTGGTTCTCTTTGGCTTTTAAATTAGCTGTTCTTATGGATTACTCTTATGGGTAGCATTACATTCTGAAATGATCTTGTTCTGCAGCAAGAGCAAAAGGATGCCTACCTTCCAGCAGATTTGGGCACCTCTAGCAAACAGCCAACCAATTATTTCTGTAAGACTTTGACTGCTAGTGACACAAGTACTCATGGAGGATTCTCTGTCCCTAGGCGGGCAGCTGAGAAAGTGTTCCCTCCGTTGGTAAATATTCAATCTAACAATGGAATGTGACCTTCAATTTCAGTTCTCCATGGTCCCACTCTCCCATGAAATTTCTGATACATTGGTAAATATTCAATCTAACTATGGAATTTGACCATCAATTTACATCTACCATTTACTTGCAGGATTTTTCTCAGCAACCTCCAGCTCAAGAGTTGATTGCAAGGGATCTGCATGATAATGAATGGAAATTCAGACACATCTTTCGTGGTTAGTTTTGTTTTGTTTTGTTTTCGTTTTTGTGTTTTTTTTTTTTTTTTAGTTCATTTTTGTCAATTGAGCACTGTACTCAATTCTTGATGTCAGTCTTAAGTGCACCCAGTAGAGCCTCCTCTTCATTTAGTTGTTTGAATTGGGTTTGACATGATATGTGATAACAGGCAATAAACTATTGTGTATCTGATGATAAAAGTACTGAAACTTAGTGGTATTATTTTTATGAATTATTGTCTTTCAACTCATTATTGTTTAGCTTACCAATTTTTAACTGATGAGGCTGATCCATATTCCTCTCTTCCTTGACGAAAGTTTTAGGTCTTTTTTCCTTTTTGTTATTTACCTGTGCTATGTCAACATTATTCTCTGTAGAACTTGATTTTTGCCTGAACTGTTGATGCAAACTATATATATATATTTTTTTAAGATTTTCAAATTCTCAAAGAATCATAATAAATTGTTGTTGAAATTTTCTATCTCATTGGAATGCTGCTAGTTACTTACTATGTATGATAGAAGATGATTCTATGCTTGTTGGAGAATTTAAGCCAAACAAGGAGTTAGTCGTGGATTACAGGTTGCACTCCTAACTGTCTTTAACTTTTCTTTAATCAGGCCAGCCGAAAAGACACCTTCTAACTACAGGGTGGAGTGTGTTTGTCAGTGCTAAAAGACTTGTTGCTGGGGATTCGGTGCTTTTTATCTGGTATGCTTTTGGCTAGCTCCACTTCATTGATTTGACTTTTTATTGTTCATTTTTAGTTTTGTGAATTCTATCTGAACTTGGTGACACCGAGGCCATAAAACTCATCCCGATCATCTTAGCTACATATTTTGTGCACTCGTGGAATTCCTAGGAATGCATATGACACTATGTTTAGATAAGGAGCTTAATCCACTGGCAATCTGGTAAAACATCCTTGGGCCATGAGAGTCCTCATTGGATGTCATATGTGGTGCATGATGTGCATTTTTGAACATTCTTGTTCTTTAAATTTTATGTATATGATTTTCTATAAACCATGCATCTCGTCAATGTTTCAATTGAAGCGGTTTCTGTTCATTAGGAATGAAAAGAATCAGCTACTACTTGGCATTAGGCGTGCTACTCGACCTCAAACTGTGATGCCTTCATCAGTCTTATCAAGTGATAGCATGCACTTGGGTCTTCTTGCTGCTGCAGCTCATGCAGCAGCAACAAATAGCCGTTTTACCATATTTTACAATCCAAGGTATGATTGTGCAAGTGAAAGTGAAATTTTAAATTAAATATCCTCCCTCTAAATTTTCATCTCCTCTTATTCAGGGCTAGTCCATCAGAATTCGTCATACTGTTGGCCAAATATCTTAAAGCTGTTTATTATACCCGAGTGTCTGTTGGCATGCGCTTTAGGATGCTGTTTGAAACAGAAGAATCAAGTGTCCGTCGGTAGGCCCTAAACTTTTATTGTCTCATTCACATATGATAATTATGATCAATGTGTGATTGGGTTTCATTTTGTTGACCACTAAAGTGAGAAAAATCCTCCTTTCGGTTATTGGCGAAGGTTACACAGTAGATTGGTAACAGGACAACTGTCTGCCTGGTATTTCATTAGATGGTTTGTTGTCACATTACAATTGATTAGAGTGAGAAGACATGATTTGTCCCTCTCTTACCTTTTCCATGTTTGTGCTGCTATCTAATGGCTGCATAGGCTCTCTAATTTCTGGCTCTCGTCTTTTTTTGTTTTGTGTTCTTTCTTAGTGCTACAACTTCTTTCCAACAAGCATTATATTTTTGTTTCAATGAAGACATCTAACAGTTGTTTATGATCCAGCTACATGGGTACAATAACTGGCATAAGTGACTTAGATGTTGCTAGGTGGCCAAATTCACATTGGCGCTCTGTCAAGGTATGCCGAGAACAACCAGTGACTCTGATATTATGTAGTTTCGAAAAATAACTGCTTTCACATGTAGAATTTTGCTTTTACCAATCTCATTTCAAAGATTTACTTCGTATAATCTCCAAAACTGCATCTTAATATAAATAGAGAATGTAAAGCAGGTTGGCTGGGATGAGTCTACTGCTGGCGACAGGCAGCCAAGAGTTTCTCTATGGGAGATTGAACCACTAACAACTTTCCCAATGTATCCATCTCCATTTCCCCTAAGACTCAAGCGGCCTTGGCCACTAGGGCTACCCTCTTTCCATGGTAAGCTTATCTACACCATCTTGAGCATTTCATGAATGTTACTATCATATAAACTCTCATATTAGGGTACTTCATGGTTTTTCTTTTCCTGTTTTTCTCTTAACCTTTCACCTTATTTTACCTGTCGCGTTTAGGCATCAAGGATGATGATCTGGGAATGAACTCTTCCCTTATGTGGCTAGGAGGAGATGCAGACCGTGGAATTCAATCTCTGAACTTTCAGGGAGTTGGAGTTGCGCCATGGATGCAGTCAACTGTTGATGCTTCCATGTTAGGTTTGCAAAATGATGTCTACCAAACTATGGCTGCTGCTACATTTCAGGAGATGAGAGCTCTAGATCCTTCCAAATCATCAGCTGCATCCCTTTTGCAATTCCAGCAACACCAGAATCTCCCAACCAGGAGTGCTGCATTAATTCAGCCACATATGTTGCAGCAGTCTCCTTCTCAACAGGCCTTCCTTCAAGGTGTTCAAGAGAATAAACATCATTCTCAGCCTCAGTCTGATACTCCATCTCAGTCTCACTGTATTCAGCAACAACTGCAGCATCAGCATTCGCTTGACAGTCAGCCACTTCTGCAACAACAGCAACTGGCTGACCAACAGATCCCAAACGTCGTCTCTGCAATATCTCAATATGCTTCAGTTTCTCAACCCCTGACATCACCATTGCAAGCAATTTCACTGTGCCAGGAGCACAGTTTTTCTGACTCAAATGGGAACCACGTGGCAAGCCCTGTTGTTTCTCCCTTGCAAAGTCTTATGGGCTCATTCCCACCGAATGAATCATCTCATTTGCTTAATTTGCCTAGAACAAATCCCTTGATAACTTCTTCTGGCTGGCCCTCAAAGCGAGCTGCTGTTGAATCTCTTATTTCCTCTAGAGCTCCTCACTGCATGATGACCCAAGTGGAGCTGCTGGGGCCACCTCACACAAGCATCTCTCCTAGTTCTGTTTCTTTGCCACCTTTTCCTGGCAAAGAATGTTCAATAGACCTGGATGGTGGCACTGATCCACAAAGCCATCTTCTATTTGGTGTCAATATAGAGCCCTCACCTGTTCTACTGCAGAATGGAATGTCAAGCCTCAGGGGAGTTGGAAGTGATAGTGATTCCATAGCTATACCTTTTTCTTCTAATTACATGAGTACTGCAGGCACCGATTTCCCTCTTAATCCAGCATTGACACCTTCAAGTTGCATTGATGAATCAGGTTTCCTGCCATCCACAGAAAATGTGAGCCAAGGAAATCCACCAACCAGAACCTTTGTTAAGGTACCTTTCCATTTTGCGATCTTAATCGATGTTTGTTTCCTGATGCATTGTGGTAGGATTTATGGATTACTTAACGTACTCAAATTTTTAGTGTGTTCCTAGGTTCAATTATTTCTCCGTTATGAACGTAATGATCTAGAAGCCTCTAACAAATGTTGTTGTGGATGTTGACAATTTAATTGTTTACAGGTTTACAAGTCAGGGTCCTTTGGTAGGTCACTGGATATCACCAAATTCAGCAGCTACAACGAGTTGCGCAGTGCGCTTTCTCACATGTTTGGCCTTGAAGGCCAACTGGAGGACCCCTGAGATCAGGCTGGCAGCTTGTATTTGTCGACCGGGAGAATGATGTTCTTCTCCTTGGTGATGGCCCATGGCCGTGAGTTTCTTACTTTTACATTTGGCTAATTGGTCTGATACTTAAAATTTTTCTTTGTTAATCTAAAGCTCAACTCAACTAAAATCATTGAATGCATTTGATCTATAATCTTTATATATGATATTGTAAAATATTTTAAGAGAGAGAAGAACAAGAAGAAAATAATCTTCTATAAATTATGAACAAAATTTGAAAGGGTGAGATGTCTGTATATGACAGTCATGAAATCGAAACATCTGAATACTAATATGCATTCCATCTGTGAGTTTCCATCTATTGGATTCCAGTCTCAAATCAGCCAAATTTCTGATCAATTTGGTGCATTCTTATCACAGGGAATTTGTAAACAGTGTGTGGTGCATCAAAATACTCTCATCACAAGAAATGCAGCAAATGGGCAAACAAGGTTTAGAGCTTCTGAACTCTGTCCCAATTCAGAGGCTTTCCAATGGCAGCTGTGATGACTATGCAAACCGGCAGGATTCAAAAAATTTGAGCACTGGTATAACTTCTGTGGGGTCTTTGGACTACTGAACAATTTAAGCAGTTAAGGTACCACTACCTCTTCTGTAATATTAGTATCTCGTTCGAACTCTTTCAGTTTCAGAGGTGGAACGGGTGACCAAATCCTAGCTTAAAGTTTTAATATAAGCTATTGCTGTAATTAGAAGGTACTCTTTCTCATTTCTAAGCTATTGAATGCCTACAGTTGATAATAGGAGACAAATATTTTTTAAGCTCAGCCTTTTTGCTTTTGTTATTTTCCAGTCCATTTATTTTGAGCTAAATTTTACTGTAGAATGAAAGTGATGTTCTTTTGTCATAGCTTGGCCTTTTCCATCGGGACAAAGACCTTGTTGGGTTTAGATGACTAGCTCATCTTGTTGTGTCCATACTGTCACGTGCTGGAGTTTGACCATAGCAAGGTGTTGAAAAGTGAAAACCACTTTTTCTAGGTTTCTCACTAATGCGAAAAAAAGGCCTTTGCCGTGTTAGGTTCTTGGTCTAGCAAAGTAAAGCTTAATCAAGCCCTGCCTTTGCATTGATTTGATTAGCCTATTGATGCTGTATGCAACAACAATCAAGCCAAATCTGCTTCCCAAAAGTCTTGTATTTAAATCTCCTGTCAAATTTGGATAGATCAGGATGTTCATATGGGTTGCATTGCCTCGTATTGGTTGGGCAGGTGTGACCGAGGCTAAGTTTTGTTTAGTTAAATTCGTACCAGATAATGAAGGTTCATGGGGCAACACTTAACTGTCTGGCGTCCAAGTTATTTGATAGGATATTGCTACATGAAAAACGTAGAAAGGTTAACGAATTTTACAGGAATATATACAATGGCAGAAATCATAATATTATACGACTTTAAAGTCATTTATTTCATCTATCCTCGTGTTCATCTTGAGATCATTAAGTTGTTCGGGGACGCCCTCGTGTATCTACCTTTAACCTTGAGGGTAAGAATGGCACCCTACATTGTCGGCAAAAATTGGTTTCGTAAGGCACGTGCCATCCGTCACTTCCTCATCTATATGACCTAATTTTATTAGTTTCTACATTTTCCTATCATGGTTGAGGATGATCTTCAACTAGTGAAAGGGAGAGGCTTGAAGAAAAGGGCTTAGTTCAGCTCTCCTTTTTTGTTGTGGGACTGGGTGGGTCACTGTATAATGGTGGAATTAAGGGTTTGTGTTTTGTGATGCATGTTGTGGGGCATTGAGTGTAGATTGGACTTTCATGAGAGTTGTAATGGTGACAAGGAAGGGCACTATCAACAATAATAGTAACAATGATATGTAGGTTTGCAAATCTAACAACCCTCTTAGAAGTCCTTTACATTTGGATGGGGAAGGAGGGGTGTCCTTTTTTCTTTAGCTTTCTTGAGTTAATTGATCCATCTCATTTCCCCTTAACATGTGTGTTGTGCAAGGGCTGGCTGAAATGGTAGCTCAATCAAACTCACTGTCACAGCTCCTATTAAGTTAGCTAAGAAAACTGATAAAGATTGTTATTATTACTATTTTGAAAAAAAATTTTACTTAACATCTTTTAAAATGAATAAGACACAAGTTAAACTTACGAACTTCTTAGCGGATAAAGATCTTCTAACATGCGAACGTGTGATGTACCACATGTTTTTGTCAATTTAGGCAACAGTAGGAAAACATAGGATGCAGTGATAAAATGACCACTGTTTTCTTAAAAATAAACCTAATAAAGTTTGTTTTTTTAATGAATAATTAATGTCAATATAAATTTCATTTGAAAGGATAAAATGTTTAAGTAATATTATTTTTATAATTATCTTATAAAATTCTCACACACACATGTTTCATACATTAAAAAAGTAAATTTTGTTAGTAACAAGGTAACAAAGCCAAAACAGTTCAACAAAATCTATGTTGTTTTTGGTTTTCTTGGCATCCATCTGATCTATTCCTCTGGAGCCGCCTCATGTTGACATAATCTCAAATGGCTTCTTTTTTTTTTTTTTTCTTCAATTGGTTGGGGATCCATCAAAACCATTTTCTTGCTATTTTATCTCTTCTAAAGAGATTGTGAAGTTTGATTTGGCACATGTTAAAAAGATTATTAATTGTTATGTCATATCAATATTTTTTATTCATGCTTTCTATTTTTTTTTATATAATTGTATTTGGATAATTTTTTTAATAAAATAAACTTTAATTAAGGGTATTTTAGTAAAAATATATCACTTAAAATTTTGACTAAACAAACATTTTAGGATAAATATAAATAAAAAGTTAGACGGTCTCTTTAGAATAGAGGAAATAAATAATATATTTTTTTATAATATCTAATATATTAATTTAAATCATTTATAAGTAAATATTTTTATCATTTGCTAACTTTAAATGTTTGGCTTTTAAAATATGAATAGTTTTGTATAAATCTTCATAATCTGTAATTAAATTTTTTGTTGATTGTTAGAGCATATAAATATTTTTTGATTGCACTGAATAAAAACTATAGAGATAAAGTAATTAGTAGTAGTAGTATATGCATGTGTCTGATGCATACACGTGTTTGACTATTTATAATTAGATCTTTTGAAATAATAATCGCTAAAAAACGTGCACGAATTTAGTAATTAGAAAGTTGAAAAATAGAAATATATTTTTCGTATAATATTTCGTTATAAGAAAATTCCACCTCTTTCTTGTAAAAATAAAAGAAATAAAAAGAGAAAAGGAGTTTCATTGTTTATTATAAGGGAAAATGGCCCAACATGTCTTTAAATGATAGGATAAATGTTTAGTATGTTCTTATATCTTAAAATAAGTAAAAGATGTTACTGTATTTTAATTGAGTTTTCAATCATTTTTTATAACATCAGGCCAAAAAAAAAAAAAAAAAATCACATGAATTGCACTTGAAGAATTTTATTCTTAAATACTCCATAGATAAATGGACATGTGCAAGTTACCAATCCATCGCCACTCTCTCTCCCACCTTGCCTGCCTAGATTCTGATTAAAGACAAGCACTAAACTCTTTTTTTTCCCCTTTTTTTTTTTTTTGGTTTGTTTTCTTCTCCTTTCCTTTCAATCCTTCATAGTCTCCTTTCCTTCCCCTCTAAAAATTCGGGAAAAATCACCCGCAAAAAATAAATCTCATCACTTTTCTTATCACCTCCAAATCTCCATTTTTTTTCCCTTACAAAAACCTCCATATCTCACCTAAAATCAATCCCTGACCTGTTGATCTACACTCCTAAGCCTTAAAATCGGCCTGTTCCATCTTCTCCTCATCTTATAGGTCAATACCAAGTCCTAACCCGCCGACCACTATCAAACTTGCTACTTTTCTTTACTTTTTCAACCAATCACCACGTCAAATACTTTTTAATCGTCAAAACCCAACCTGAATGCCACAAACCCATAATAGGTTTGGTACTTGTCTTTGGACGAAGTCTAGCCAAGGTGGGAGAAAGGGTGGTAATGGGTGGTGACTTGAATACACCTATTCAGTTTAGGAGCAGTTTTGGTATAAGATTAATATGCAAATCACATGATGGTTCTTGATGGTTTTACTAAAAAAAAATATTGCCAGAAGGATAGATTACAAATTCACTTATATGCATGGGCATAATTGATTTATTTTATGATACAAATACAAATTGGACATTTATCCATTTATATAAGAACATGTTGGGCCATTTCCTTTTATTATAACGTTGTATTTATATTGTATGAATATGTAAAGTGCATAACGTCGACAAAATTTTATTCAGAATCCTAATAGCTTTTAGTATGATAATATGGTCTTAGATAGGATTATTTATTTATTTATTTGAAATAGTTATTTTAATTATATATGACGCTAATAGAACTTATAAATATTATAGGCACGGATAAAATTTTTATAAACATTTATTTTAATAATTTTTTTAACAAATCCAAAGGAATAATAAAAAATTTGTAGATAATTTTCTCTAAATGGGTATAAAGTGATATAAGACTAACAAAAATTTCCTATAAAAATAAGAATCTGATTTAATAATTTGATGAACTATGCAGTTTTATTATTTAGGATTTTTATATTATTGGTCTTTTTTGGGCCTTTTTTTTTTTTAAAAAAAGTATTTTTAGAGTTTGTATAGGCAAAATAAAGTGGTAATAATATACTATATAGGTTAGGAGTATCTTAAGAATCTTAATTTTTTTTATTTTTTTATTTAGGGTTTTATGTGGTTAATAAATTGGAAAATAATGGGTGTGTGATGAGAGTTCTTGAAAACTAATCAAACTACTTATCAGTATATTCATCAAAACATAAAAAGTTAATGTTGTGACTTGTACAATAATGACCACTAACCAAGTAGAATCTATGCAAGTGCTAAAAAGCATAGGAGGAGCAGGTAGTGCTAGCACAAGTTGAGTGGTAAGTAGGTGAGTGGTCAAAGTCCTAATAGATAGAGCTTTAGAAGACGTTTGACATATGAGTGCAAGAGTTTTGAGAGATTAGAAAGACGAGAGAGAATTTAGAGGTTTTGAAAAATAAAATGTTTATACTCGTACTATATAGGTTAGGAGTGATTTAAAAATCTTTATTTTACTTTATTTTATTTAGAGTTTTATGTGGTTAATAAATAGGAAAATAATAGGTGTGTGAGAAGGATTCTTAAGAACTTATCAAATGATGCCCATCAACCAAGTAGAATGGATGCAAGTGCTAAAAGGCATGACGAGGAGTAGGTGATGCCGGATTAAGACACCAAGCCTTGCAAAATACTCAACAACATATGCAACACTTGAATAGCCCTAGGTCGAGACAATCGGAGTATAAAACAACCTCGAAAAAACATCAATTAGACCTCAATCAATAGCCAAATCAAATCAAATTATCAATTCATAAGCCCTCAAGCACACAATCCAATTGGCACTCACAATTAACTAACACACAATAACGAGTATTTGAAATTAGGTTAGGTGCGTTCACTACCAAATCAAATCAAAATAGTATAAAATTTTAACAAACCTAGATACTATGTTGGAGAATGTGTATACC